GCTCACCTCTGTGTGAGGCATGATTCTGCCCACACTTTGGGACTTCTGCTCCTCCGTGTCCTCGGGAAAGCTCATGAAGGTCACAGGACTGTTCTCTGTGGTTCCATAGGCAACCTAGGGGGTCCAGAAAGGGTGTTTGGAGGGAGGGAGGGGACTGCGGAGAGATGGGGTGAGCTGCCCCGAGGGACGGAAGGAATCGGGGGGGAACGTGGAGGGCAGCTGAGTGGTGGGGAAGGAGGCACAGTTGGCCGAGGTCAGGGGTCAGGAAGCGGAGCCACTGGGACACTGAGCTGACCAACTCAACCACCGGCCCCAGATGGGAAACAGAGCAGGGGAGCCCTTCTCTCCGGGCCAGGGCTCTCTCTGTCTCTGTTTCCGGGGAGCAGCCGCACGCCCCAGTGTCAGCAGCTCCCAGCCTTCCCCGTGCCCAGCCTTCTCTCCCCCATCCCCAGGCTGCCTTAGCCCCACTTCCTGACTTCAGGCCACAATATCCCCTCCCCCTTCTTCCAAGCCAAAGGTCCCATAAGCGTGATGAGAAAGCCAGCCTGCCTGGGTCCGGCTGGGAGCCGCACATCCATCACCCCCACCCCACCCTGCCCCATCTCCCCAAACCCGGGGCAAGTGCCTGGCCTTGGGGTGAGTGCACCTAAGCTCTGGAGACTTTCCTGTGAATTTTATTTCCATCAAAATAAAAATCCAGCCAAAGCAAGGGTTTTCAAAGCCAGTGGCCCCCTCTGATCCCCCCCCTCCCCCTCTAGTGGTTGGAACATCCTGAGCAACAGAAAACCAGAAGCCAGTCGTGGAGGAGCCTAAATACCATCAGGGAGTGTCCTGGGCCAAGTATGACCCTCACCTGGAGGCGACGGGGTGAGAGGGGCAGGCCCCCACCCCTGAGTGAGGAGAGGGCCAGCCCTCTGTATCCTATGTCCCTTCCAGTCCGCAAAGACACCAGACCTTTGTCCTCCATGCCCCCCACCTCCCATTCCCTCTGTGTCAGCTGGCACAGCTCCGGCACAGCTGGGGTCTGGCAACACCTGGGGTCCAGTTCCTCCACCACCTCCCAACACAGACAACATTCCCTGCCAGGCAGCCCCTTCCCGCAGGAATCCGGACACACAGAGGCCTGGTCAGCTGGGGCAGGGCTGCCCACAGGACCTGGGCCCTTGTAGCCAGGACCGGGGCCCCCTCACCCACCCGGCCCTCCTAGTCCTGGGGCCACTGCCCAGGTGCGGCCTCTGCCAAGTACATCTTGGCGCCACGCTGGCCACCACCCTGGAGATGGGAATGAGGGGATGGGATATTTTAAGGAGATGAAAAGGGGTGGGGGTGGGACTGTGCCTGTTCAGTTGCCCTGACTCCCTGCCTGTGGTCTTCAGGTGTGTTTTTGAGTCCTGTTGGTC